AAAAAAAAAAACCTAGCCCACAAACCATAATCCCAGAGAACGTAGACAACAATGAGGTTGTCTAAGAAAGGCATACATGGATCTAATGTACATGGGAAAGAGAAAAAGACAAGATCTCCTGAGTAAATTGAGAGGATGGGGACCTTGGGAGAGGTTTGAAGGGGAGGGGAGAGGCAGGGAAAGGAGCAGAGAAAAATGTAGAGCTCAATAAAAAATCAATCAAAAAATATATAAAACCCTGTTAAAGAAAGAAAAAAGAAATAAAGAAAGGAAGGAAGGAAGGAAGGAAGAAAGAAAGAAAGAAAGAAAGAAAGAAAGAAAGAAAGAAAGAAAGAAAGAAGAAAATCTGGCTAGAAACAAGTCAAGCTAAGGCCAGGCATTCATAAGAAACAATAAGTCTCCGTCTATTTATTTGGGAGCCGAGTGTGGTCCCCCAAAACATTTAAAATAAACAAAAACAAAAACCAACAAGAAAACCCACCAGGAGATATATTATATATTATGAACACTCACACAGATTCTCAAAGTGGGTTTATGTAGAAAATTGTTACAGGAGTTGAAGTAGAAAGGGAGGTTTGGACTCTGACCCTCACGCCTTCACAGGGGACACAGTTGTGGTGTTCTCTTCAGACTGTAAACAAATGATTTACCACTAAGCTGTTTGGAGGCAACACACCTAACATCAGAAGACCTTTCCGGAAACAAAAGGCATTTTAGGCTTCCCTGAGAAAGAGGCAGCTAAACTGAACTGAAATTATCTTTTGGAATCATGTGTCCTTTAAATGTTGCAGTCCTGGACTTCTTAGTGGAACAGCAAGAAGGGTGGGTACAGGCAGAGGCTACTGCTGATTGCTCACCCCACCATCCGTGGGACATCAGCAGGGTCTTCCTTGGCTATTTATTGCTCTCTGGGTACCAAGACTCAGAAGAAATCTGACTTGGTGCGCAGTTGGGGTTTTTACTCTTTTACTCTTTGGAGGCCTGCCACCCAGCTCCCAAATAAATACTCAGAAACTTATTCTTAATTATAAATGCCCGGCCTTAGCTTGACTTGTTTCTAGCCAGCTTTTCTCAACTTAAATTATCCCAGTAACTTTTGCCTCTGGGCTTTTTAACCTTTCTCTATTCTATATGTCTTTTTTCTTCTTACTCCTTAGCTGGCTGTATGGCTCTGTGGCTGGGTGGCTGTGTGGCTGGGTGGCTGACCCCTGACATCCTTCTCTCCTTCTCTCTCTCTCTTTTTTTTTTTTTTTTTTCTCCTCCTCGCTCTTCTCCTACTTATTCTCTCTGCCTGGCAGCCCTACCTATCTTTTCTCCTGCCTAACTATTGGCTGTTTAGCTCTTTATTAGACTAATCAGGTGTCCTAGGCAGACAAAGAATCAAAGCTTCACAGATTCTTCACAAATGCAACATCAAAGAATTTAACACATCTTAGCATCATTAAACAAATATTCCACAGTATAAACAAGGGAAACACATCTCAAACTAATATTCTCCTGCCCAAGATGGATAATGGTTAGACTCATGCCGGTAAGCCACAGTCAAGTGCAATATGCAAAATGGAGATGGGTTAAATTAATATGTGAGAGTTAGCCAATATAGGGCTGGAGATAATGGGTCAGGCAGTGTTTTGATTAATACAATTTCTGTGTGGTTATTTTGAGGCTAAGCTAGCCGGGCAATGGGACTAAAAGCAGGCCAACTCCTCACTCCTGATACTACAGAGTGGCACTCCAACATGGGGCCGCTCCTCTTTACAACAGGACATGCCAAAATAGAGTTCTGTAATATCCCCTCCATCCTGAAAGTACTGGTGTGCATGCTATGAAGGGACTTTCTTAATTGGTGCGTGAAGAACTCTGGAATCCCTCTTGAACATCAGTGAATCAGTTACACTGCATTTTTGTTGTTGATTCTGTTTAGTTCTTTGTCTTGTTATTGTTGTTGTTGTTGGAGATTTTGGTTGTTTTAGTCTGTTTGTTTGTCCATGGTTCCTTCTCCCTCGTGTAGCCTCTCTAATCCCCTTAGCATTTTTACAGTTGATACAAAGATAATATTACAGCTTATGTCATAAAAGAGTGTAGAGGGAGAGAAGGAGAAAAATAGGTGAGCACTAAGAGGAAAGTGTGGATGTGAATCTCCAATCTGTATGACTTAATCAATGCCAACACTTGACGCCATGGATTATCTTTACCAGCTGTGATGTCTCTGATCCTTTACCCTTGCTTTGCTTTGGGTTCTGAAGTCAGTTTCAAGACCTAGTGAAGAACAGTATCTATTTCACTTTACAGCAGAAGAAAGAAGATTTTAGAGAGTTCATTTTGTATTACATTGAGAAGAGCAGAAGAAGAAGAGGAGGAAGAGGAAGAAGAAACCACAATTGATAAACCTCAAGTGGAGTGAACCATTGGGACTAAGGTTTGCCAAACTTTACCACTTTCTTGAGTTATCTGTAGATACTGACGTCTGTTGTTTTTTAGTCATTTTGCTTCATCCACTTAAAGCAATGTTTCCATTCTGCATGGGGCAACTATCTATGTGAGCATGCTGGGACAGTATACATAAAACACCACAGCATGTGACAGAAAGAATAAGAATCATCCAGTATTAAAAGAAAAAACAATGAATCTACTTAAAAATCCAAAAATCTGTCTACCATATCATATTCATCTCTGAAGTTCCAGACACATAGAGCTGTCTTAAGAAATGTTAACCCAGGGCCAGAGTAATGGCTCAGCAGATAAAAGCATTTGCCATTCGAGTCCGAGTATGACATCATGGAACAATCTGTAATCCCAAAGCCCCCCAAGCAGAGATGGAGAGTAAAGACAAGAGAATTGACCAGAAGCTTGTGGGCCAGGCAATATAGCACACACAAGAAAACAAACAGTGACAAACCCTCCTCTGTGACAGCGTGGAAGGCAAGACTTCACTCTCACAAGTTGTCCTCTGACCACCACACAGGAGCAGTGTCAGGCACACCCCCTATACATGACAACAAACAAAAGTAAACTTTATAAAAAACAGGGTTTTTCATCCATAAGTTTGAAATGTTCAGGGTTGAGCATAATTCAATATTGAGAATATGTTTATCCAAGGAGTTTCCAGAAAAGGACTTTTCTCTGGATTCAGTCCTGATATCCTCATTTAGCCTCACAGATTTTGATACGAGTTCCAAGTGACTATGAAGACCAGAAAAAAAAGACAAGTGATATGAAAATAAAAGGGAGAAAACCAGGAGCAGAAGGGTCCAAGCTGAGAGAGCAGGCTGGAAAATGTGGGGGAGTAGGTAAAAGAGGGTCAAATAGTAACTATCTATGAAAACGCCACAAGGAAAGCTGCTACTCTGCTGATAGGGAAATGAACTATCAAGAAAACAAAAGATTCCGGTTCCTAGCAGGTTCCCCAAATGGCCTCATGCCTCTGAGTTCCAGATCTTCTTGGTATACTGAATAATGTGTCTGTTGAAATAGTCTACTGACGTCTCCAGATCCAAAGTCCAACCTCTTGTCTTTCACTGAGCTGCAGAGACTCCTCTGAAGAGACAAGCTTGTCAATCCTTGGAACTCCTGGAAGACTTGGCAAATGAGGAGCATGGGTAAGTGACAGAGACAGAGGTTTACGCATGGCGGCAGGTAGCTTTCTCTTCCTCTGAACTTTACTGGTTCTTGATGACTGCATACTCTCGTGTACTTTTCCTCCTCCATTACCTCAATTTTGTAAATATTCCTTTTAGTAAATTCTCAAACTATGATGATTGGGGGTGTCAGCTGTTCCATGATCTTGATAAATTATTGATACTTCATTGTCTCAAAGAATAATTTGTACACATGGGCCAACATATTTCATTGTACAGATCATTCTCTTTAGAGGAAGAAAGGATTTATACGAATTATGTTCATGTCCAAACACTCCTTACCTGGTTTCTTAGTTGGGGTTTCTGTTGCTGTGAAGAGATACCATGGCCAAGGCAATTCTTATAAAAGAAAACATTTCATTGTGGTTGCTTACAGTTCAGAAGTTCAGTCCATTATCATCATGGTGGGACATGGCAATGTGCAGGCAGACATGGTGCTAGAGAGGTAGTTAAGAGTTCTACATCTTGATCTGCCGACAACAGGAAGTGAACTGCGTCACTGGCTGTAAATTAAGCATAGGAAACGTCATAAGCCACCCCCACAGTGACCCATTTCTCCCAACAAGGCCATACCTACTCAAACAAAGTCACACCTCCTAATCGTGTCACTCCCTTTGGGAGCTTTTCTTTCAAACCACCACATCCCACTTCCTGGCCCCCAAAGGCATGTAGCCATATCATAATGCAGAAATTAATCAGTCAAACTTCAAAAGTCCCCATAGTCTATCACGGTCTCAACAATGTTTTAAAGTTCAAAGTCTCCTCTGAGATTCATGCAATCTTTTAACTGTAATGTGCAGTAAATTCAAAATTCAAAAGCAAATCACATACTTCCAACATATAATAACACAGGATGTACATTACTATTCCAAAACACAGGGAAAGGAACATAGCAAGGAAATACTGAACCAAAGCAAGAGTGAAAATCAGCTGAGCAAACTCCAAACTCTTCATCTTTATGTCTGATGTCAAAATTCTTTTCAGGTCTCCAATTCCTTTCAGCTTTGTTGGGCTGAAACATACTTCATTCTCTTAGACTGGCTCATCTCCCTGCTGCAGCTCTCCTGAGCAGGTGTTCCATCCCTGCGGCAGCTCTCCTGAGCAGGTGTTCCATCCCTGCTGCAGCTCTCCTGAGCAGGTGTTCCATGACTCTGGCATCTCTAATATCTTGGGTTCTCTAAAGCAATCCAGGCTTCAACTTTATAGCTTCACACAATGGCCTATCTAGGCCTCCATTTAGGGGATACCCTGGACACATGCCTGACCTCAGTGACTTTCCTGAGATGTGGAGGCAAATTCCATGGCCCCTTTCTATCCTTAACTCTGGAACCACGCAGATGAATTTGCCAAGTTCTGCTGCTTGCTGGGACTAGAACTTGGCCCCCTCATTCAATTACATCTTCACCAACTTTCCATTTTCAATGGTTTCCTTCACTGTCTAGACTTTTCTATCCTAAACTGGATCTGTAGACTAGACCAGCCTCAAACTCAGAGATCTGTCTATCTCTGCCTCTGGAGTATTGGGATTAAAGGCATGCACTACCACACCTATCTCTAAGCTTTTCTTTAATTCCTTTTCTCAAAATGGAAACTTAGCTACTTGAGATCTTCTCCTGAAGTCACCACTCCCTCTATTCCATTTCTTAATCTGTTTATCTCCTTACTTAAACAGGACTTAGCTCAATTCTACATTCTGTTGTTTCTTTTCTCCTCAAATTGTACATTTTATGTTTTTACTTCTTCACCTTGCTCCTTTTCCTTATAAATCTTCATAAGAGTAACTACTAATACCCAAGATAGAGTCAATACTAGGCTGTTTTGAGATTTCTTTGTCAATGGATTAATTCAAAACTTTTCACTTTAGCCTCAGGCAGACTCTTTGGACAAGGCAAAAACCAACCACCTTCTTCACCAAGGTTTTGGAAGAATAATCTCTAGGCCACATATTAATATTGTTTTCCTCTGTAACCTCTTAAGCAAGGTCCTTACAGAATATCAAATCAGACTCAGCACTATTGGTTTTCATGCTCCTACAATTAAGCAATGCTTAAAACATTCCACTGCTTTCCTAATCCAAATAACCAAAGTTCAAATTCTTCCAAATGAAAACATGACCCAGCTTATCACAGCAATACCCAACTCCTGGTACCAAGTTCTGTCCTAGTTAGAATTTCTGTTGCTTTGAAGAGACACCATGCCCATGGCAACTCTTATAAAGGAAAACATTTAATTGTGGTGGCTTATAGTTCAGAGATTCAGTCCATTATCAACACTGCAGCATACAGGCAAATATGGTGCTGGAGAAGTAGTTGAGAGTCTTACATCTTGTAGAAAGTAGACTTTCCCATTGGGAGTAGTTTGGGTACATATGAGACCTCAAAGTCTGCCTTCACAATGACACACTTCCTCCAACAAGGCCACACCACGTAATAGTGCCTCTCCCTTTGGGGGCCATTTCTTTCAAAACAACCATACTTTGTCTAAGTGATGATGTGCTGTGGTGAAGTGGAGTAACTTGGCTGAGATACTAAATCTTATTCTTTCTTTGGGATCTGGTTATTTAACAAGAAGTAGGGTTGGCATTTAGCAGCATCTGGGCACTCAGTCCACAAGTACTTCCATCTAGAAGAACCAATAATTTTAGTTGGGAACTGAATTATTTGTTCTGAAGATACAAAACTGACCTTATCAATGTATCTGTGTTGGATAAAAATATGTTGCTTAAAAACCAATAGCATCATTCATTGGTAAAGTCCTTGCATATGCAAGGTCCGTGATTCAAACCTGGAACCTCAAAAACAAAGTCTGTCTTCTCATAGTTTTCTTATAAACATTTTGTCTCTGACTCTTTTGATTGGTCATAGGACTCCTTTCCTCCTATTGGCTTGCATTGTCCAGCTCTAATATGAGGGCTTTTTCCTTGTTATGTTGTATCTTGTTTTGTCCTGTTTGATTGTTGTTTCTTGGATGCCTGCTCCTTTCTGAAAAGAAATAGAGAAGAAGTGGATCTGGGGAAAAGGGTAGGGAAAAGTGGAGGGAGGGGAAACAGTGGTCAGGATGTATTAATGAGAGAAGAATCTATTTTCCCTTTTTTAAAAAGCAATCAATCATTTCAATTGTCTTTCCACAGTAATAATGCAATAGTTCTGACTCATTCATGTATTTTTAGTTAAATTTTACTATAAAAAGTGAAAAATGTGTGTATCAGCATGCTGCTTGTTGGTTCCTGGCTGCTTAGCCCTGAAATAATCATGCAGAAACTGTATTATTTAAATCTCTGCTTGGCCCATTAGCTTTAGATTATTATTGGCTAACATATTAATTTAACACATCTCCATTAATCTGTGTATCGCCATGTGACAGTTGCTTACTGGCAAAGTTTCGGCATGTCTCACTATAGTGGCAGCTCCCTGGCATCTCTCTGACTCTGCCCTTCTTTCTCCCAGCCCTAGCTTTCCCCGCCTAGTTCTATTCTTCCCTGCTATAAGCTCAAAGCAGTTCTTTATTCATTAACCAATAAAAGCAACACATAGACATGCGGACCTCCCACACTAAATGTGTGGAATTTTTATAGGGCCTAGCCCTATAGGTATAAAAATGTATTTTTCAAGATTATTTTCTTTGAACAAAATTTATTTTTAGTTGGATAGGAGTCAATGCTAAGATCTCAGCTCCCTTATCACAATGTTTACGTAGAACAGGGTAAGCTATAAAACTGGACACACCAATGAGGGAGTTCAAAGTGGCTAATCCATTTCTAATTAATCAGAACATGTCGCAACTACCATTAAGTAAATGCCCTTTATTACCAGATACTGTATATCTAAATTACTCCTCAACACTTACTTTGTAAATACGTGATAGATACTATGACTAGTTTCTTTATGCTGTATTCAATCAGATGATAAGTTGATGAAAGCAAGGCATTGCCCTGAGTGTATCTGGAGCAGAATGCAAAGGTCACACATGACCAAGGTTGACCCAAACAACATAGCAAAGGTCTTGTATTCCAGAGTGTAAAATTAAAAGCGCCTTTCTTTCTTCAACTAATAAAGCAAGGAATCATCTGACCCTATCGCTTCTGGAAATCATCTCTTAATTACAAAGCTCAAAAGGACTTCTACAACTGACAAGAAAATATCCCTTGTCATCAAGGACATCTTGGAGACTCTAACTGGGAGCCTCCTGGGACCCATCTTATTTCTGCTCTTCCAATTAGATCCTTAAGGAAATAAATGTTCTATTGCCGAAGTTCATTTAGAATGGGACTTTTTGATGCTCTAATTCTGAGCTCAGACTTTGTAACCCAGAAAGTGTGCCACATGGTGCAGAGGAATACTATCTCCACTAGAAGAACAGTGAACCTTGGAGATCTTGAGTGCCTTCTGCTTTGTTTTGGTAGTAAGTGGTGCTTGTGTGCCCAGTCACCTTTTCTCTAATCACACCAGGATGGAATAGTCTATGACCCCCTTGCTGAGTAAAATGATGACTTGGGTGAGAAAAAAATGTTTTCTGACCCATTATTCCTTCTGTTAAAAACCAAAGATGTGGGTTAACAAAAAATCTGTGAGTCGAGACTGATACTACTAAACACACCAGCTGGGCCTTTAAAATCTAAAAATACACCAGACAAAAAGCTATGAAATGCCCTTGACGTCAGTGAAGACAGTCATCAGCTGAGATCATTGTTTGACCTTCTCACTAGCGCCACACAGATAAACCTATGCTGCCATTTCTTATGTCAATACCATAAAAACAAGACTAGGTGTTGTGCTAAATGCCCGTAACTCCAGCACTTAGAAGAGACAAGCAAGAAGGTCACAAGTTCAAGGTCATCCTCAGCTACTTTATCAGTTGAAGGCTGGACTGGGCTAAGGGCAACCTTGTCTCGAAAAAGAAACACACAAAAAAGACTGTGCAAACATCCTGGTGGAGTTCACACGGGGCGTCATCACTTACAACAAGAGACCACACCCTTTCAAATTGGGCTACGAGGTCATCCTGAGGCTTGTACGACCTCATGATCTAAATATCAGTTATGTAGAAAAAGTGGTAGTGAAGCTTTCTTTATCTTTTCTAATCTTCATTAATTTTTTATGAAACTTAGGTTTGACTCTAAGCTACCAAAAGTGTCTTTAAACTGTGAGTTTCTGACGCAAAATTCAGGGAAATCCACTCAGTTTTTTAAATATCTGCTTAATAGACTCAGAGTCATTTCTAAAGAGGATTCAGAACTCATTTTTATAGCTTACTGTTACTGTCCTCCTGAGGACACAACTCCGAGGTCTTTTCCATCGCTCTGGGTGTGTTTAAAAATAAGTAAACTTGTAAGAAAAGTAACTAACCCAGTAGAGGAGGAAAACACGGGAGACCCATGTTTGTTCTTCACTGCCCTGTTCAAATCATAATGTTAATATCTGAACTGAGAAAACCTATATTAATACAGCCTATGGTGTGCTTGCTGCAACTC